AGAATAACATCTAGACCAGTCCAAAATGTAGTATGGTTACCTAGAGAACTATCTTTATTTAGTAAGGAAGAACTGAACTAACACATTGTTGCCCAATAAGCAATCGGCAAGAATATTTCTGAATATCATTGAACATAGTGAGCTCGATCTACCTTCTTAGTACCCTCTGTGCCCCGATATTCTAAAGTCTAGTCCTGTACTATCCACCATTTGATACTTACCTCATCTGGTTGAGGAGGGAATTAATTTTTCTAGACAAAATCAAGTCAAGAGGAAAACTTGAGATTGAGGCAAAGTCAAGTGAAAGGAAAAAGGTGAGTGAGTTCTTCGCCAGACTTAGCTGAATGTGGAGGTAGCGCAGCACAGCAAGTGCCTACCTGTGGAGCGCCCCCGCCCATCGCCTACAGCCTCATCTTAAAGATGGCACCTAGCGGAAGCTCACTAAGTGCTGGAAGTTGTAAACAACAACTTCGAGGAAGTGGTGCGCGAGGAGCGTGGAGAGCACGGGAACTTCACATGCAGCCAATCCCTACCCGAGAACTGATTTCCGCACACGTGGACAACGTGCGATTGGCCAGGGGCCCTTTATAAGGTCCTAGGGTTGGGGAGGAAGGGGAGAGCTCCTGTATTCAGAACCTGGGGAAATGAAGTGCTGTAGAGAAGACTGTCTCCAGAGTCGTCAGTTGCGCGGCACCTACCTGACAGGTAATGTAACCTATACAAAGAGAGATACCGAGGGGCCAGCAAGTGGCCTGGTGGCTAAGACACTGGCCTCCCAAATGGCCAACTGTGGTTCAAGTCCCAGACCCGGTGACTGAAGCTCATCTTAGGCACTTATGCGTGCACGCCCAAAATCCCAGGAGGAGAATGGAGAGGAAAGGATTGTGGTGTGGTCATCCCCTACCCCCACTGGGGGATGATTTCTTGCTTTTCTTTCTCAATCTCTCTCTGTTTCTCCAGTGAGTGGATGTTCCCTTTAGTCAAAAGTCTCTCTTACAAAGAGAGAGCAATACAGAGGCTGAGTCCAACTGATTAGTGAGACCTCCTGGATTCTGCCATGCAAGACCCATCTCTTGCGATTCTTAATATGTGACCAATACTTCCTATTCTTTGAAGCAAGTTTCTGTTATGTTCTATTTTAAAATCTTTACACTGATGGTGATTATCTGGTGAAGAATATTAGAAGTATTTGCTCAGGTCATTCTATTTGTCCCTAGTCTCATCACCATTGGTTATTATCTACTTGAATTTCATTCCCTTAGTAGTGTTTATGTCATGCAATGCCATCATGTAACAGAGTATCACTGAAATGTGAAATAAAAATGTTAGCAAGAAATTAGAAAAAGTCAAATCGTCCTCACAGCTATAAAAATACAAGAATGCCTCAAATTTATTTAGGGTACGACCTATGCCCTCTTTAAGAACCAACAGATAGACAAAGAAAACTGAATTTATGCTGAAACACTCCCAGCCCTGTGCTGTGAGGATTGTATTCCCTGAATCTTGTGCTGAAGTCCTACCCCCTAGTGTGACTATGCTTTTCCTTTTAGGTTTGTGAGTAGGGCGCTTGTACTCGCTGGAGAGAAACAGAGAGAGAGTGAAAGGGAAAGCGAGAAATCATCCCCTGTGAGGGATGACCATGCTGCAATCCTCTCTCCTCCATTCTCCCCCTGGCAATTTGGGAACGTACACACATGTGACCAGCGTGATTTTCAAGCTGCCAGGTCCAGAACTTGAACTGTAGGAGTCCAGAGCCTTAATCACCTCACCATCTGCTGATATTCTAAAGCGTAGTCCTTTACTGAGTGTGACTGTCTTTGGAAGCAGGGCCTTTACAGAGGTAGTTAGATTAAATGGGGTTATAAGGGCTGAGCCCTAATTCAGCAGGACTGGAGTCCTATAAGAAGAAGAAAAGATGCCAGGAGCTCATGGCTCACACAGAGACTTATGTGTGGGGTACAGTGAGAAGAGGCCATCTGTGAGCTAAGGACAGAGGCATCAGGAGAGACCAACCATCAAACACCTTGGTCTTGGACTTCCAGCCTCCAGAACAGTGAGAGAGTGACTTTCTGTTATTTAAGCCACCCAGTCTGTAGTATTGTATTTGGGCAGTTCAAGGAGTCTAACGTATTTTCCTTTTTCTTCTTTCATTTATATTTCGTGTTTTTGATTATGTGCAATAAAAGGAGAAATAGAGTACTTCATTGGATATAAACTTGAGAATGCATAAGTATTCTTTAGAGATGAGAATTTAACCACTATATCTGATAGACTGTTAGTTGAGGACATCATACCCTCTCCAAAAATGATCACTTTGTCATGGAAACACGTACTTTAAGTAGCTTAAAATATTATTAATAAAAGATTACAAGAGCATTAACATGTTTCAATATAGTAGTAATAATTTATTCATTTAGTTACTCTGATTAAAATATTACACATTATTTTAGTGTGAAAATAGCATTTCAGGAGGAAAGATTAAATGACAATGTAACAGGAGAGAATTTCAGGTGGAGAATGTTTTGTAAAAGAACAGATCTTTTCATAGGGGACAGATGAGGTATACTGCAAACCATTTGGAATTTGTATGAAAATATTGTGCACATAAACAGAGTATTCGTATTCAATTAAAAGGATATATCCATTTTTTCATTTAAAAAAATGATAACTCAAAACTCTACTAAATATAATTAGAAGTGTAGTTCTAAAGAATTCACAGTATAGTCCTTTAAATGGCCCCCTTGAAATGACTGGGTTTCAGGTATTTTACCTTGAAGTGGATCAGGCCGGATGTGCTAAAGAGTTTAGGGGAAGCAGGAAATGGGAATAACTATGGTAACCCCCCAAAGGATCAAGGTCTGTAGGTCAAGTCATAACGGGAGAATTTCTTGGGCACTTCATGTGCCAGAAAGCTAACTGTTGTAGGGAATTTGGCCTTGGGGTTCTCTTCATAAAAGCAGCATCTTCTAGAGATGCAAGGTTGAGCAGGACAAATAATAGGCTACCTTAATTTGCACCAAAGAAATGATGTTATTAGCACAAAGCTAAAGTTTTTGTCAGATTGGAAGCCAGGGACCGGTTCTCTGAAGAAGGACAAGAAAGTCACGTGGTCCTCAGAGGATGTGGAGGAATGAGAGTGAGTGTTGAGTCTCTCTACAGCCTCTGCATTTGTACACACAGCTGGACAGATTTCAAATCTGGTTGAAGCAGAAGAACTGACCAAAACTTTATGATTTTTTTTTTTTAACTACTCTTTGACGTTGATGAGAATCAGGCTATGACTGTCACCTGGGACTGGGATTAAACAGGACAAGTGCAAACTGCTGGATCCATTACTGATTTCAATCCTGATTTTAATTTACAAGACCTATTAGTTATACACACGACAAGGAACACACCTAGAGTGTTAATGGAATGCTGTGTGTTGTAGCAACAATTAGTGGAATCACAGAAAGGTTTATGCACCATACAACTGTCAAGAATGAGCAGCATTTATCCAAGATCCCTAGCGCCATCCCCACCTCACTGTGCTCTGCTAACTCATAGCTAGTGCTACTGAGAAAGTCTAGTATGGAGTTAAAAAAGAAATATAGGACAATCATTATACTTTGACATGTTAAAACTGAGCCAGTTATTGAAATACAGATAGAATATTAGCAGGTAGCTCTTCCCCAGGTGCATATAAGTAACTCTCATTAGTGTTAATAAAGCTTGGTGAGTATTCCAGGAAGAACATGTTTCTGAGTAATGTACTTGGGGAAAGACGGAAGGCCATTGCCGGAGTAGTTTTGCAAGTAGAAGCCTAAGCATAGAGATCGAGAATGCTCTTTTGGAATTCGATCTTCTGCAAGGATTTTTATCTCTTTTTTTTTTTTGGAGAGATTTTCACTGTAGGGCGCGTGCGCTCGCCAGACAGACAGAGAGAGACATAGAGACAGAAAGCGAGAAATCACCCCCCAGGGGGGATGGTCACGCCGCAATCCCTTCTCCTCCATTCTCCTCT